GAAAAGAAAGCTTTTTTTGAGGCAGAGATAAATAGTAACGTCAATAATCCCTCAAAATTGTGGCACTTACTGCACACCAATCAGGTGCACTCAAAGAACACCAAGACAATCGACGAATCACTTAAAGATCCAGAGCTAATAAATGATTATTTCGCTAATATTATTCCTTCACCTTTTTTGTCGTTGCACAACCTTGATTCTAATAAACCATATATTTTGGGTGGCAACGACTGTTTTGGTTTCGATGTGGTGAACGACACAGACATCAAAAATAAGCTTAGCACGATAAAATCAAATGCTTGTGGTTTGGATGCAATCGATCTGAAAATGATAAAACTTGTATTGGAGTACTGCCTCCAAGAAATCACTCACATAATGAACTTCTCACTAATATACGGAGTTTATCCGAAACAATGGAAGATCGCTCTAGTAACACCTCTACCTAAAGTGAGCCATGCTACGTCACTAGGAGACCTACGACCGATTAGTGTGTTACCTATCTTATCTAAAATATTAGAGAAGATTGTTGCTTCACAGCTAGTACATCACCTGAATCATACTAATTTACTCCCACGATGCCAATCTGGATTTCGGGAGAAGTATAGCACAACGACCGCGTTAACTAAAATTGTGAACGATTGGTGCTGTGCCATTGATGCCTCAAGAGTTACCTTCGTTGTATTCCTGGACTTTAGTAAGGCTTTTGATATCATCAATCATCAGCTTCTAATAGCCAAGCTAGTCCGTTATGGATGTAAAGAAGACGTTGTACATTGGTTCCAGTCATATCTTGTGAACAGATCTCAACATACAAAGATTAATGGTAATATATCTAGCGGTATCCTAGTCAAGCAAGGTGTTCCACAGGGAAGTGTTTTGGGTCCTATATTATTCAACTTATTTACGGCAGACATGCCAAATGTAGTGACGAGCTGTTCGGTTCATCAATACGCGGATGATGCGCAGATTTACATCTCTTGTGATATTATCAGTGTTGATGACACGGTGCGCTTGCTTAACTCTGATTTAAAGAATATTTGTGAGTGGTGTTCTGTTAACGGGTTAATTCTTAACGCGAAAAAAACTATATGTATGTGTGTCGGGTCGGCCAACATTCGCAGAAGAGCAATCGATAATTTATCGGTTCCTATACACCTCAATGGAACTGTCTTAGCGTTCTCTGAATCGACCAACAACTTAGGTCTTACTGTCGACAGTAATCTTAATTTTGCGGAACATGTAAATAAGAAAATTGGTGTGTGCTACTATAAGTTAAAATCGTTATATAAATTTAAGTCATTGTTGTCACCACAATTGAAATGGAGACTTGTTAACTCCTTAATTCTAAGTCAACTTGATTACTGTAGTAACGTTTACTACAATTTTCTATCAGCTACTTTAAAAAATCGTATTCAAATACTTCAGAACAGCGGACTTAGGTTTTCATACTCGATTGATCGTAGAGAACATGTTACCCCCTATTACATAAGATATTCTATCTTAAAAATGGAACCTAGATGTACACTCTTGCTAGCTGTTATGTTATACAATGTAATATTTTACAAATTGCCTTATTATTTATATTGTATCTTAGTACCAAGATCGCAAATACATAATGTTAATCTAAGACAAACGAAGTTGTTGACGATTCCCAAACATAAATCTGCTAAATTTTGTGGTAGCTTTGCGTACAGAGCACCTACAATTTATAATTGCTTTTTAGATGTTTTTCAGTTGAAATCTAATAGATCTTTTAAATGCACCTTGAAGCGCAGGCTTCTTGAGGAACAAGAATCAAAATGTTAAGTTTAATAATTTTTATATTTTTATTTTTATTTACAATTATTTTTATTTTTATTTTGTTGGTTATTACTTTGATATATATGTATTTATTTTTGGTTTTCTAGTTTTCTAGTAATCAGCTATGCTGTACCCTATGTATATATATATGATATGTATATACTTTATATGTATATTTCTTTTTGGGCAAATTAAATTAAATTAAATATATCTTCATAAGTCGATACACCTATTGTGAAATTATTATACTTTATGCATAGCTTTATTGATTTATTGCAGCCTTAATTGATCCTCTAAACGAGTATCTGTAATTTGAGTTCTTAAACTAGTTTTAAACAAGCAGGATAGTAAACGACGTGCATGCTCTCGTATTAATAAATGATATTAATTTGTAAATGTTTTTAGTAATTAATTTAAAAAATCAGTTTATCACAATTTTAATTTTGAATAGAAACGATAGATGGCGTTACTAGAAAGGAAACTATCAAATAGCATATATTATTTTCCTTTTGTAATAATATAATTACACTTCATTAAATAATCAATAACACATCATCAAAGATGCGTTTTTTATTAAAAGTTTAATATAAACACATTCCTTTTGAAAGACATGCATTTATGTTAATAATCATACTTTTTATTTTTGCTAATAGATGGCGCCAATCATCTAGCTGTCAATATGCACAAAATCTTGATTTATTTACAAAAATATACTAAAAACCAAAACGGATTTCCATTTTAAAGCAATAAATGGATTCTTAAAAAACAGAACATATTCAAAATACTTACATCAACAGTATAATTACCAGGTGGTGCAATCGAAACGACCGTACCTTTAGCCCTAGGAGGCAAAATCAATTTGTGCTTAACCAAAGTATTTTCATGAACGATTCCATACAAATCTCCACCAGTTAAATGAGCACCAACCTAAATAATCATTAAAACAAATTAATATATAATTAAATAATTAAAAAATTATCATTTTTACCTTAATATTCAAGGGATTAAACTCCCAATTAATAGTACGCGACAAAGCGGGTACATTAATACCCTTAGGAATGTAAATACTCTGTGTTAAATCATTAATATCTTTTAATGGACGTTGGATACCATCAAAAATTGACCCCAAAATACCCGGACCTAACTCTACAGACAACGGCTTTCCAGTACGCAATACAGGATCACCAACGGTTACTCCAGAAGTTTCTTCATAAACTTGAATCGTAGCCATATCACCTTCTAATCGGATAATTTCTCCTACAAGTTCATGGTAGCCAACTCTCACCAACTCGTACATAGCAGATCCGCTCATTTTTTCGGCCGTAACGACTATAATTAATCAATTAATAAATCAAATTTAAGTTGAAGGGATTTTTTGGAAACTTACCAGGGCCGGAGACGGCGTAAACGTACCCATACGTCGATTCTTTATCCTCATCGCTGAGTTTAGCTAATTTGGACATCTTGAAACTATAAAATAGTAAAGATAATTTAGTTAAATTCGTATAAAATAATTAAACATAAGTCACGTGCTACACCGCGCCCTTATTTCTATAGAGCGGACCACGAAAGTTGTATTAAGAATTACGTAAGTGCCGCTCTATAAAACTAAAAAATCACAAAAAAAGAGAATACGCCTCAATAATAATTGGGTTAAGTGGTTAAACTTGATTTTAAAGTAAGAATTGAAACGGAAAAAATTGTTGAATAGAAATTAGAATCGATTTAAAGTTTTTGGGAGGGTTAAAATTGGGTTAACTAAAACAAAATCGATATAATCAAGTTGAGGGATAAAATACGATGGGATTTTTAATGCTTTTTGATGGGAATATGTGGTACTCACCTCTTATTACGTACAAATCAGGTCCAACTCACTCAACACCGAGCCAAATACTAGTTTAGTTCAGTAGCTAGTCTCGAAAATCACAAGACGAGTGTCAGGTGCAAGTCAGGTGACATATGAGTACCGCGGATTTTGGAGTCAAAACAACACACGATGTCAATAAAACGAGTCAAATTAGGGTTTTATTTCAACTTTTTGATTAAATTAATTATTTTTATTTATAATATTATTTAGATTTAATAATAAGGGTTATTATTTGTGTTATAAAGTTAATTAAATCAATTTGTTGAGTTAAATTATAATTATAATGGTTAATTAATCTTGTAACTAATAGATGGCGCTTTAAGAATTAAATTTTTATTAAATAATTTTATATTTAATTAATAAATATTTAAAATTTTATATTTAACCACGCTGTGTTTCAATAATACAATAAAAGAAGGAGACCCTCCTTTTAATACAAACCTAAAAACAATAAATAAATTTAACCTCACTTTTTTAACACAATTTGTTACATTTTTCCTGCAATTAAAACTTAACTTAACAACTACTTTGTATGTACGAGGATTTTGAGAGCTCTCGTTTATTATTTATGTTATAAAGTTAATTAAATAATTTTTTTTAATAAAATCACAATTAATTATGATTAGTTATTCTTACAACTAATAGATGGCGCTTTGAGAATTACATTTTTAATTAAATAATTTTACATTTAAATTAATAATTATCTAAAAATTTCGTCTCAGCCACACTACCTTTCACTAAAATAATAAAAGAAGGGACTTTGCTCGTAATATAAACTTAAAAAAAATAATAAATTTCATCTTACTTTTTTAACACAATTTTTTACATTTTTGCTGCAATAAAACATAAATTAACAACTACTTTATATATGCAAGGATTTTGGGAGTTCTCGTTTATTATTTATGTTATAAAGTTAATTAATTATTTTTTTTTAATAAAATTACAATTAATTATGATTAGTTATTTTTACAACTAATAGATGGCGCTTTGAGAATTAAATTTTTAATTAAACAATTTTATATTTAATTAATAATTATCTAAAAATTTCATCTCAGCCACATTATTTTTCACTAAAATAATAAGAGAAGGGGACCCCTCTTTTAATATAAACCTAAAAAATAATAAATTTAAGCTCACTTTTTTAACACAATTTCTTACATTTTTGCTGCAATAAAACATAAATTAACAACTACTTTATATATACAAGGATTTTGGGAGTTCTCGTTTATTATTTATGTTATAAAGTTAATTAATTATTTTTTTTAATAAAATTACAATTAATTATGATTAGTTATTCTTACAACTAATAGATGGCGCTTTGAGAATTAAATTTTTAATTAAATAATTTTACATTTAATTAATAATTATCTAAAAATTTCTTCTCAGCCACACTATCTTCCACTAATATAATAAAAGAAGGAGACCCAATTTTAATATAAAGCTTAAAAAGAAATAAATTTAACCTCTCTTTTTAACACAATTTCTTACATTTTTGCTGCAATTAAAACTTAAATTAACATTTACTTTATATGCATCAGCATTTTGGAAGTTCTTGTTTATTATTTATGTTATAAAGATAATTAAATAGTTTTTTTAAAATAAAAGCAATTGTGATTAATTCATTTTACAACTAATAGATGGCGCTCAAAAAATTAAATGTTTTATTATTTATTTTTAATTAAACAATTTTACATTTAATTAACAATTATCTAAAAATTTCTTCTCAGCCACACTATCTTTCACTAAAATAATAAAAGAATCGTAATATAAACCTAAAAAAGAAAATAATTTAACCTCACTTTTTGTAACACAATTTTTTTACATTTTTGCTACAATTAAAACTTAAATTAATATTTACGTTATATGTACTAGGATGTTGGGAGTTCTTGTTTATTATTTATATTATAAAGATAATTAAATAGTTTTTTTTTAATAAAATCAACTATGGTTAATTCATTTTACAACTAATAGATGGCGCTCTAAGAATTAAATTTTTTATTATTTATTTTTAATTAAACAATTTTACATTTAATTAATATCTAAAAATTTCTTCTCAGCCACACTACCTTTCACTAAAATAATAAAAGAATCGTAATATAAACCTAAAAAAAAAAAAAAATGTAACCTCACTTTTTGTAACACAACTTTTTACATTTTTGCTGCAATTAAAACTTAAATTAACATTTACTTTATATGTACTAGGATTTTGGGAGTTCTTGTTTATTATTTATGTTATAAAGATAATTAAATAGTATACTTTTAATAAAATCAACTATGATTAATTCATTTTACAATTAATAGATGGCGCTTTAAGAATAAAATTTTTTTATTTATTTTTAATTAAACAATTTTACAGTTAATTGACAATTATCTAAAAAGTTCTTCTCGGCCACACTATCTTTCACTAAAATAACAAAAGCAGGGACTTTCCTCGTAATATAAACTTGAAAAAAAAATAATAAATTTCATCTCACTTTTTTAACACAATTTTTTACATTTTTGTTGCAATTAAAACTTAAATTAATATTTACTTTATATGTACTAGGATTTTGGGAGTTCTTGTTTATTATTTATGTTATAAAGATAATTAAATAGTTTTTTTTAAATAAAAATCAACTAAGACTAATTCATTTTACTACTAATAGATGGCGCTCTAAGAATTAAAATTTTTATTATTTTTTTTTAATTAAACAATTTTACATTTAATTAATATCTAAAAATTTCTTCTCAGCCACACTACCTTTCACTAAAATAATAAAAGAATCATAATATAAACCTAAAAAAGAAAATAAATTTAACCTCACTTTTTATAACACAACTTTTTGCTGCAATTAAAACATAAATTAACATCTACTTTATATATAAAAGTATTTTTGGAGTTCTCGTTTATTATTTATGTTATAAAGATAATTAAATAATTTTTGTTTAATAAAATCAATTAATTATGATTAATAAATTTTACAACTAATAGATGGCGCTGTAAGAATTAACTTTTAAATTACATAATTTTACATTTAATTAATAATTATCCAAGAATTTCTTCTCAGCCACACTATCTTTCACTAAAATAATAAAAGAAGGAGACCCCCCTTTTAATATAAACCTAAAAAATAAATAAATAAATTTAACCTCACTTTTTTAATACAAATCTTACATTTTTTCCTGCATAATCTCCTTTAAGCTTAAATTAACATCAACTTTATGTATACTCGGCTTTTGTGGGTTCTCATAATACACATTTAAATTGTTTATTTGATATTTTTTATGCAAATCCCAATCTGGAGTGTTTTCAAAGATGACATGGAGATGATCTACGAACCTAATAACAAATTAATTTAACTCTGCTAATTAATTAAATTAAACTTACAAATCAGTCTCAATAAAATTAGCAATAAAATCCGTCTCTTTGTACTCAGGATACATAAAAATAACAGGCCATACGAGATTATTTTCTTCGTTTAAATAAACTCGACTAAAACCTATTCCTGGGAAATTAACATCTAATTCTTTTAGATTCCTAATTTTAACTCCTCTATTATTAATTTCTTTCATTAAAGCTTCTTCTTGTTTCGATTTCTTTTTATTTTCAAACTCTTTTTTTCTCGAATCTCTTTCTAATTGTTTTTTTAAACTCATACAGTCTTTTTTTAATTTTAAAATCTCACTGGAGGGGTTCTTTTTTAAGATTAAATCGCAATATTCGAAACACTTTTCAATTTGGTTTAAGTAAAAACAACAATTTGCCGCTCGAATTTGGGCTTTTACATAATCCGGTTTAATTTTTAAGGCTAATTCTGAATCTCTTAAACTTGATCGATAATTTTTTAGGTAATAATTCGCTGCGGATCGATTGTTAAGTAGGGATGATTCTATTTCGGGGTCTCCACATTTTACTTTTATGCCTTCGGTGTATGAAAGAATTGCGAGTCTGTAGTTTTTGTGTTTAAAGTTAAAATTTCCATCATCTTTGTAAGAGGTGGCTAATTCTGTTGGGGAGTTCTCGTTTGGGTCGTATTTAAGTTGTTGTAACCCTTCGTATAATGGGTGTAATTCGTCTCCTGGTTTTGGGGCGGTTTTCATGAAAAAGGGGTGCTTCTCCATCTCTTCCTCCCATTTATCTTCGGGCCAACCATCTGCATACTTTTTTTTTGGGAGATTATTAATAAAATCATCCAAATCTTTATCTAATTTCTTTGCTAATTCCAACCTTTCTTCGTCAGTCATCGGTTTTTTTATTTCTTTTACGGTGTTATCCATTTTAATACAACAATTTTTGAAAACACGAGACTTTAAAATTTTTAAGGTTATGTATGTTTGGAATTACTTCACAGATGTATAACGTTAGTTGGGTTGCGTTTAATTAAATAATATTCAGCGAATGCAGATTTAAAAATAACACAAAAGAAGTGTTAAGAAAATTTCTTCTTATTTCTCATATTAAATTGATGAAAACCAACATAACCTCACTTTTTCTTTTCTTAATAAAAATCGATGTAACTCGAAAACTAAATTAGTTGGAGGAAAATGATTTTAATAAAAAAGATTCCTTATTAAATAAGGATTATTTTATAATTAAAGAGTTTTTCTTCATCATTAATATTTATGAGTCAAATTGTATTATAGTACAACCATCGAATCTGACAGTTTTTAACTTTAATTCTCAATCATAATTGATATTAACTCAAAAACTAAACGAAATGGAAATAAATAATTACATTAAAATAGTTTTTTTATTAAATAATGCTTCTTTTTTGTTAAGAAAATTTCTTCCCATTTCTTATATTTATTGATGAAAACGAACATAACCTCGCTTTTTCTTTTCTTAATAAAAATCGATGTAACTCGAAAACTAAATTAGTTGGAGGAAAATGATTTTAATAAAAAAGATTCCTTATTAAATAAGGATTATTTTATAATTAAAGAGTTTTTCTTCATCATTAATATTTATGAGTCAAATTGTATTATAGTACAACCATCGAATCTGACAGTTTTTAACTTTAATTCTCAATCATAATTGATATTAACTCAAAAACTAAACGAAATGGAAATAAATAATTACATTAAAATAGTTTTTTTATTAAATAATGCTTCTTTTTTGTTAAGAAAATTTCTTCCCATTTCTTATATTTATTGATGAAAACGAACATAACCTCGCTTTTTCTTTTCTTAATAAAAATCGTTGTAACTCAAAAACTAATTTAGTTGGGGGAAAATGATTTTAACAAAAAAGATTCCTTATTAAATAAGGATTATTTTATAATTAAAAAGTTTTTCTTCATCATTAATATTTATGAGTCAAATTCTATTATAGTACAACGATCGAATCTGACAGTTTTTAACTTTAATTCTCAATCATAATTGATATTAACTCAAAAACTAAACGGGATTGAAATAAGTAATTAGATTAAAATAGTTTTTTATTAAATAATGCTTCTTTTTTGTTAAGAAAATTTCCTCCCATTTCTTATATTTATTGATGAAAACGAACATAACCTCACTTTTTCTTTTCTTAATAAAAATCGTTGTAACTCAAAAACTAAATTAGTTGGGGGAAAATGATTTTAATAAAAAAGATTCCCTAATAAATAAAGATTATTTTATAATTAAAAAGTTTTTGTTCATCATTAATATTTATGAGTCAAATTGTATTATAGTACAACGATCGAATCTGACAGTTTTTAACTTTAATTCTCAATCATAATTGATATTAACTCAAAAACTAAACGGGATTGAAATAAGTAATTAGATTAAAATAGTTTTTTATTAAATAATGCTTCTTTTTTGTTAAGAAAATTTCCTCCCATTTCTTATATTTATTGATGAAAACGAACATAACCTCACTTTTTCTTTTCTTAATAAAAATCGTTGTAACTCAAAAACTAAATTAGTTGGGGGAAAATGATTTTAATAAAAAAGATTCCCTAATAAATAAGGATTATTTTATAATTAAAAAGTTTTTGTTCATCATTAATATTTATGAGTCAAATTGTATTATAGTACAACGATCGAATCTGACAGTTTTTAACTTTAATTCTCAATCATAATTGATATTAACTCAAAAACTAAACGAGATGGAAATAAGTAATTAGATTAAAATAGTTTTTTATTAAATGATTCTTCTTTTTTGTTAAGAAAATTTCTTTCTATTTCTTATATTTATTGATGAAATCGAACATAACCTCTCTTTTTCTTTTCTTAATAAAAATCGATGTAACTCAAAAACTAATTTAGTTGGGGGAAAATGATTTTAATAAAAAAGATTTCTTATTAAATAAGGATTATTTTATAATTAAAAAGTTTTTCTTCATCATTAATATTTATGAGTCAAATTGTATTATAGTACAACCATCGAATCTGACAGTTTTTAACTTTAATTCTCTATCATAATTGATATTAACTCAAAAACTAAACGAGATGGAAATAAGTAATTAGATTAAAATAGTTTTTTATTTAATAATTCTTCTTTTTTGTTAAGAATATTTCCTCCCATTTCTTATATTTATTGATGAAATCGAACATAACCTTATTTTTACTTTTCTTAATAAAAATCGATGTAACTCAAAAACTAATTCAGTTGGGGGAAAATAATTTTAATAAAAAAGATTCCTTATTAAATAAGGATTATTTTATAATTAAAAAGTTTTTTTCTATCCTTAATATATATGAGTCAAATTGTATTATAGTAGAACGATCGAATCTGACAGTTTTTAACTTTAATTCTCAATCATAATTGATATTAACTCAAAAACTAAACGAGATGGAAATAAATAATTAGATTAAAATAATTTTTTATTAGATAATTCTTCGTTTTTGTTAAAAAGATTTCTTCCTGTTTCTTATATTATTTATTGATGAAAACGAACATAACCTCGCTTTTTCTTTTCTTAATAAAAATCGATGTAACTCAAAAACTAAATTAGTTGAGGGGAAATGATTTTAATAAAAAAGATTCCTTATTAAATAAGGATTATTTTATTATTAAAAAGTTTTTCTCCATCATTAATATTTATGAGTCAAATTGTATTATAGTACAACGATCGAATCCGACAGTTTTTAACTTTAATTCTCAATCATAATTGATATTAACTCAAAAACTAAACGAGACGGAAATAAATAATTGGATTAAAATAGTTTTTTATTAAATAATTCTTCATTTTTGTTAAGAAAATTTCTTCCCATTTCTTATATTTATTGATGATAACGAACATAACCTCGCTTTTTCGTTTCTTAATAAAAATCAATGTAACTCGAAAACTAAATTAGTTGGGGGAAAATGATTTTAATAAAAAAGATTCCCTAATAAATAAAGATTATTTTATAATTAAAAAGTTTTTCTCCATCATTAATATTTATGAGTCAAATTGTATTATAGTACAACGATCGAATCTGACAGTTAACTTTAATTCTCAACCATAATTGATATTAACTCAAAAACTAAACGAGATGGACATAAATAATTAGATTAAAATAATTTTTTATTAGATAACTCTTCTTTTTTGTTAAGAAAATTTCTTCCCATTTCTTATATTTATTGATGAAAACGAACATAACCTCGCTTTTTCTTTTCGTAATAAAAATCGATGTTACTCAAAAACTAATTTAGTTGGGTAAAAATGATTTTAATAAAAAAGATTCCTTATTAAATAAAGATTATTTTATTATTAAAAAGTTTTTCTCCATCTTTAATATTTATGAATCAAATTGTATTATAGTACAACGACCGAATCTGACAGATTTTAACTTTAATTCTCAAACATAATTGATATTAACTCAAAAACTAAACGAGATGGAAACAAGTAATTAGATTAAAATAGTTTTTTATTAAATAATTCTTCTTTTTTGTTAAGAACATTTCTTCCCATTTCTTATATTTATTGATGAAAACGAACATAACCTCGCTTTTACTTTTCTTAATAAAAATCGTTGTAACTCAAAAACTAATTTAGTTGGGGGAAAATGATTTTAATAAAAAAGATTCCTTATTAAATAAGGATTATTTTATAAACAAAAAGTTTTTCTTCATCATTAATATTTATGAGTCAAATTGTATTATAGTGCAACGATCGAATCTGACAGTTTTTAACTTTAATTCTCAATCATAATTGATATTAACTCAAAAACTAAACGATATGGAAATAAATAATTAGATTAAAATAGTTTTTTATTTAATAATTCTTCTTTTTTGTTAAGAATATTTCCTCCCATTTCTTATATTTATTGATGAAATCGAACATAACCTTATTTTTACTTTTCTTAATAAAGATCCTTGTAACTCAAAAACTAATTTAGTTGGGGAAAATAATTTTAATAAAAAAGATTCCTTATTAAATAAGGATTATTTTATTATTAAAAAGTTTTTCTCCATCATTAATATTTATGAGTCAAACTGTATTATAGTACAACGATCGAATCTGACAGCTTTTAACTTTAATTCTCAATCCTAATTGATATTAACTCAAAAACTAAACGAGATGGAAATAAATAATTAGATTAAAATAGTTTTTTACTAAATAATGCTTCTTTTTTGTTTAGAAAATTTCTTCCTATTTCTTATATTCATTGATGAAAACGAACATAACCTCCCTTTTTCTTTTCTTAATAAAAATCGATGTAACTCAAAAAGTAAATTAGTTGGGGGAAAATGATGTTAATAAAAAAGATTCCTTATTAAATAAGGATTATTTTATAATTAAAAAGTTTTTTTCTATCCTTAATATATATGAGTCAAATTGTATTATAGTACAACGATCGAAATTGAAAGTTTTTAACTTTAATTCTCAACCATAATTGATATTAACTCAAAAACTAAACGAGATGGAAATAAATAATTAGTTTGAAATAGTTTTTTATTAAATAATTCTTCTTTTTTGTTAAGAAAATTTCTTCCCATTTCTTATATTTATTGATGAAAACGAACATAACCTCGCTTTTTCTTTTCTTAATAAAAATCGTTGTAACTCAAAAACTAAATTAAATGGGGGAAAATGATTTTAATAAGAAAGATTCCCTACTAAATAAGGATTATTTTATAATTAAAAAGTTTTTCTCCATCATTAATATTTATGAGTCAAATGACAAAATAGTGTTTTAACCTCACTTTTAAACGTCAAATAAAATTGATTAATAGAAAATCAATAAAGTAATAAAAGCTTTAAAATTCTTATAATTTAAGTTTATTTTAAAGTTTGTGCTGCCACCTATGTTTAAAGTCTCATAGTTCTGAATTACCAAAATGCAGGATTATATTTATTACGATGTTTATAATAAAGGTAGAAATACAATTTTAATCTTTTTGTTTAAATTGAACAGATTTTCTTTAATATTACTTGTTAACATATAACAACAATCATAACTTAATATTTTAACAATTCTTTTGGTAACATTTTCACCACTAGATGTCTCACACTTTGACAGTTTACATCAGCGAGATTTGAATTTCAATTCCTAACAAAAATTAATTTATTATTATTATATCTAAACAATTAATATTAAAAAAATAGAAATAGAATTACATTTCTATCTTTATTATGAACCGAAAATCATAATAAATATATTCATGCATTTTGGTAATTCAGACCTATAAAAGTAGGTGGCAGAACAAACTTTAAGGGTTAGTTGATTTAAAAATTTAAAATAAATATACGTGTACAACTATAAAGAATTTGTGAGTTTAGATTGAATTTTATGATTTGATGATTTTATTTAACATAATATTTTATATTAATTAATCTTTTTCATTTGACGTCTGTAATTAAAGAAAAAATTGATAGATGGCGCATCACAAAATGAAATTGATAAAATTAAATTATTTCGTTTTATTCTATTATAAAATTACAAAAAAAATACTTCGGAGTTAAGTATAAATCAATACAGATAATTATAATAATTAAATTATATTTTAATTATTTAAGTAATAACTTTATACTCTGCGCCATCTATGTGTAATGAGTTACACTACCTACTTAAACGAGTAGATATTTCGGATATGTGTTAATAATTTAAAATGATTCATTTTAATTAATTTAAATTTCATCGATTATTTTCTAATAATATCCTTTAATTATTAATTTTCAATCAAAAATTTAAAAGTGACAAATTTAAAATTATCTATATTCATGTTAGTCGATAAAATGGATCGTTTGAATGTCAATCGTGTTGTCAGTTCGTTTTTGACAACTATGTCTTGACAGACGTCATCGCGACAAGAGGGTGTTGGGGAGAAAAAAAAATAATAAAAGATAAATAAACTGTGTAAAACGATTCATTACGCGCAAATAGAATAAAATGGGCGATGGGGCCCCCGCTAAGGGTGTCCAAAACGAGCCGGCGATGAAAGGATGGCTCTTCAAATGGACAAACTATTTAAAGGGTTACCAAAGAAGATGGTTCGTTTTGCAAAACGGATTGTTGTCTTATTATAGGTAAGTTTAGTCGTTTTAAATGTATCGTAATACGCATAAAATTTCTCATAATAACCCAGGACAACCTTGAACAAAAAAAAAAATTAATAGTTTAATGGTAGCTGGTTTTTTATAATTATTGGCAACGTCACAAAATTATAAAATTAATCTAAAAAAAACAAAAACGCTATTCACATTGTTGTTGAATATGTTGTGCAGGGCTGAAAATAATAGCGGGGGCGTCACGACACTGTCTCTGAGGAGAAGGCGCAGATTTCGAAATGGGTAAGTCGAAAGAAAGAGACAAAAAACAGCCCTGCACAAAAAAGAGATTAACCTCAAAAACAAATTAATTTTTTTCATCTTTTTTATTTCAAAGAAACCAAGCGGAAATGGCGCACACTTGTCGCGGAAGTATCTCGCTCCATGGGGCCCTCATTCATACCGTCGATCATTGCACCTTTGTCATCTCCAATGGAGGCACCCAAACGTTTCATATTCGAGCTGCTTCTGAAATTGAAAGGCAAAGTTGGGTTACCGCGTTAGAATTAGCTAAAGCTAGGGCTATGTGAGTATTAAATGAGTATTAAAAGAATTAGTTTTGATTCATTTTAATTTGTTTGAAGTCGAAATTTGGAGAGTGAAGAGGAAGAGGAAGAAACAGAGGATGGGGCGTCTCCAGAAGAGTGGGCCAATGTCGTTCGGGAGTTACAGGCGAAATTGGATGATCTGAAAACGTGTTCGGATTTGATTTCGAAACACGGCGGAGCGCTGCAACGTGCTCTTGGAGAGTTGGAGGTTACCGCGGAATCGGATACAATTCAAGGGAAACACAAAGCTGTTCAGGAGAGGGCCACCCTTTTCCGGATTGCTAGTAACGCAATGATGAATGTAATTTGATTCTGAATTGGTTTGTGGAGTTGTTTTATTAATTTTTTTGATTGATTAATTAAGGCTTGTTCTGAATATTTATCGATGGCGTTGAATCATGGGCACAAATGGACGAGGCTTTTGCAACATGAAAGGGAACAAAGGCAGCGGTTGCAAGAAATGGTTGAAACTTTAGCGCAACAACACTCGAAATTAGAACAAGCAGCAGCTGCTAACGCACAACGACCGCGAGGTAAAAAAAATTTATTAAAAAAATCTCTACTTCTCCTGATCCTTATGCCTGATGGCGTCGGATAAATCTTTTTCCATCTACCTCTTCCACTTCCTCCAGTTCCTAGCTAATTCCTTTATATCTGGTATACTCTATTTTTTAATTTGGAAGAGTAAAATGAAAAGTCACATTTACACAGTGTAATTTTTCAAAGCTATTTTTTGGCGGGAGTTTTAAAACCACAGAGGATTTTAAGTAAACTGTAGTTACGAATTGAATTACTTATTTATTTAAAAAAAGTATATACTTTTAATCTGTAGTAACAAGGGCTGATTATTATAGGTGAAATATTTAAATCAAACCTTTTAAAGGCGGTAGATAGGTAAACTTAGACGGTTATTGGTTTTTTTAATTAACCCGGCGTCTGACACGTGAAAATTTTTAACATATTCTGACATGTGGGGTTTAACAAAACCGTTTTACTTTGTTTTGTAAATAATTCCTGGTTCATTTTTAAAATTTTTTTTTGTATAATGTAGATGCAAATACTACAAGCTTTAAGAAAGTGAAGTGTTTCTTTATAAATAAATTGAAATAATAAATGAAAGCAAGTTTTTGTTTGAGCCTGTATTTTTAGGCAGTAAAAAACAGGATCTCTTAGAAACTTTTTTTTAATGAACAAATATAAAATACGAATAAAAATAGAAATACAAATATTAATAACATTTAACATAACTCAATAAAAAGTATTGCAAATATAGGAAAACTAAAAAGTTATTAAGCATTAAACTGTGTACAATTTTCACAATACATACGCGCATGTTCCAGGCATAAGTATTTATCACAACCTTCACAGGTGTATTTTGTCTTGCGATCACGACCGCGAGGACAGAAATCACATCGACGCTGTTTATCGAGCCGTTGTTTCTTCGGAAGTGGTTCAGGTTCAGGCTCGCCTCTAATCCTATATAAACTCATTCTCACTTCCCGGGGTACTCTAAAATTAGTCATTCTTTTTCGTTGATAATCATTTATCAAATCAAATCCCAATTTTGTGAGGTAGTCTTTCCTTTTCAATATTACTCCATTATTGTTCTCACGATGGATAATTTGAGAATTGATGCCGGCCGTGTTCATTAGAGAAAAAAATAATGTTAGAGGCCATCGCCGGGAATTGCGACTTACGTTATAAGTTCCCGACAATTCATCTACTGTGTCCACTCCTCCCTTTGTTAGATTATAAAATGAAATCATTTCAGGTAATTTTTTTGTCGAATTATCAACTGAATCATCATGATGAAGAGTGGACATCATTAGCACAACTTTATTTTTTTTGGGAACGTATGATAGAATGGTAAAGTCTTTTTGAAAACCAAAAAGGGTAGAATTGATTGATCGACTTTTAGCGGTTAGAAATGTTTGGGGGATTTCCTTTTTGTTTTTTCGTATTGTGCCGACACCAGTTAGACGATGGTTTGTACGAAGGCTTTCAAACAAATGATAACTGGTATACCAATTATCACATGTAATGTTTCTACAAGTGCCGGAATATGGTTTCACGAGCCGTTCTACTATAGCCGTTGGAGTATTATTTACTGCAAATGGACCATTAGGCTGTTTACCTACATAAATCTCCATGTTCGTGAGATAATATGTTCTGGCATCCACCAAAGCATGAACCTTGATGGCCGGCTTATTGGGCATATACTGTCTGAACGGACATCGCCCTCTAAAAGCCTCTAGTTTTTCATCCACAGTTAAGTATTGGCCTGGCGTATAGGCATTTTGACAATTGGAAACAAATTTTTCTACTATACTTCGTATAGGCGCCAGCTTGTCGATTTCACGTCTACATGCGCGATCTGCTTTATTGTCAAATCGCAGGCATGTGAGCAAAAATCCGAACCGTCTTTGAGACATAGTTATTCGAAATACTTCTATGCCTGTCCCGTCAGTTTTCCAAAAATCTCTTAGCAAACGACGGTTATTTCTAAAAACGCCTGCTAAATACAGCAGCCCAAACACAGCTTTTATTTCTATATTATTTGTTGCTTGGTAATGTGCAGACTTCTCCCATTCACTTGTTTTTTCCTCAATGCGTTGATTTGTCCATTTCACTATACTATCTACCATTTCTTCATCGATGAATAGCAGAAAGCAGTCAATTGGATTTTTTTTGCCCCTAGCGCACTGTTTGACTCCTGGTAATTGGGAGATAATATTCTCGGCTCTGGTCCTCACGTTTTTGTTGTAATATTTTTTTGCCCACTAGTACCATATTTACTCAAATAATAATTCTTTTTCTCTTCTATGTCCTCACCGTCCCCAGCTTCTTCGACAATATTATTTTGCTCATCTTGCTCAAGATCACTATTTATACTGACATTATCTTCTTCACTTTCGCCATCCGCCTCAATATCTTCCTCTTCACTTGACATTTCATGCCATGCCTGAAGGCGGCGCATCACCTTTTCATAATCTGTCATATCTAACTGTTTCAAAAACTAGACAATTATAGAGGATTAGGACAATCATAGAGTAGATTTACAAACACTCACCTCACAATTTGAAGCACAATCTCGTAAACACTATAGAAATTATTATAATTTTTTTTATCTCAATTAGACACGTGGGGTTTGGTATACCCTAGGCACACTAACCTGCTCGTTAACTTCACTTCCAATTAACTGCCATCAAAACGGTTACATACGCTGATAGAATCGACTATTGCCGAAAGCTACCGACAAGAATACTTACCTGCTCACACGCATCGCGTCGGCATATTACATTTTAATTCGCTGTGGGTTTGTCACACCCCACGTGTCGGACGCCGGGTTAAATATAAAAAGACACTGCAGAATAATTGTATATTGAACAAATATACATCATATTACATTTCAAATATACATATACAGGGTGATTCAAAAAACCGCTGACAGACTTCTATATGCAGCGCTATTTTTAAATTACATCTACAAGTATTTTCTAATGTACACTAAGAATGCTGTGAAATTTAGTTATATTACTGCAATAATATAGCTTATTATTGTACTTATAACATTTTTTTTATTTGAAAATCATAGCAAAACATAAGTATAATAGATTTTAATTTTACAGTGATATAGCTGTAAATTTCACAGCATTTTTCTCAGTGTGTATCAGTTTTATAAGTACAAATATAATAAAAAAATGAAAAGAAAAGAAGAATGAAAAGCTTTTGTGTAAAAACATAAGTTAACATTTTTTTTCAATTATTTTTTAATTCGACTTATTTTAATACATTTAATAGGAATTTATACTGAAATTTCATTTTATTAAGGAAGTGGTATCAATTTTAAGTTTACTAAGTATATATTAAATAAACTGACCGGCAAAAAAACCGGCGACTATAATAAATTAGCCAAAACTTCAGAGCTGGCTTTCTCGCGAACCGCGCGTTCGATTTTGACGATTCTTTTTTTGATCGAAAGGTTGATACTTCGGTAATAATCCTGCGATAGAAATTTTCATTTAGATTTTAATTTAAGCATATATGGGCTGCACGAATGAGAAAAACTTTTTTTTCTCGAAATTTGTAATACCTTGTGGGGTGCAGCTACTAGAGCAGATGCTATTAACTGGAATCAAACGGTAGCCCAATCTTTTCTGAACATTTTGTTTTTCTATTCACTCTATTGTCTCTGTTACTAACGAAGATGCAGTGTTTTAAAGCGAACGCCTGTGAAAACAAGACAAACAAGCATAAAAAATCTAAGGTGGCGCGATAGGTTGCGTATGTCATTTGTAAATTGACTGTTGTTAAAGATTTTCACAGTCTTTTAACTTAATAGCAATCCCGTCGTCGGTAACTGATGATGCGCGTACTGTTACTTTAATTGGGGATGGCAAAAGTCAGCGATACGTTTCGCTTCTGCAAAACTGTTTCGGGTGCCCAGTTTTTGGTTTCCAGGTCAGTGATTTAAGGCGCCACTTTTAACAAAGATTAAAAATCTGTATAGGCTTCATTGTAAATTCCCGGCCACACCATCACAGAACCACCATCGAAACATTCGCGTTTCATAATTGTATAGTTCACAAATCTTTCATTTCAACGTCTTCATATTCGCTCATCGACCATCGGGTAATAGACAAAACCACTACTCATCCATAAAAAGGACTTTCCTCCATTGCTCGATCTCCCAATTCACATGTAAGCGCGCAGATTGAAGATGCGCTCGTCGATATCTTGGAAGCCGCCTGGGTCCTTTGGCAGCCTTCTTGCAGCCAGACCACATTTAGCAAGTTTTCAGCGAATGGTTCTCTCACTGACATCAACAACATGCACCATTTGAAGACGACGCCGAGCTTCTACAGCTGTCGTTCTACGTTTGCTTAGAACAATAAAACGGTCATCAGCTACTATTGTCACTCATCTTGTTGTCACAGGCGATCGCTTTAAAATACTGCATCTTCGTTAGTAACAGAGATAATAGAGTGAATAAAAAAACAAAATGCTTAGAAAAGATTGGGCTGCCGTTTGATTCCAATTAACAACCTCTGCTGTAGCAGCTGCACCCCACAGGGTATTACAAATTTCGAGAAAAAAAGGTTTTCTCATTCTTGCACCCCGTATATGCTCAAATTAATATCCGAATAAAAATTTCTATCGCAGGATTATTACAGAAGAATCAACCTTTCGATTAAAAAAAGAATCATCAAAATCGAATGAATGGGTCGCAAATAAGCCAACTTTGAAATTGTGGCTACATTTTAGTGGCCGATGTTTTTTGCCGGTCAGTGTATATTAAGTAATACTGAAGGTGTTAGAACATATTTGGGTATTAGTAAAATTAAAAAATAATACACCATAGTAAGTAAAAAAATATTAATACATTCTATTCAACACAATACAAATAATAATTATAAAAAAAAGGTTGCATAGTTAGTATAAGGTAAAAGAACAATAATAATATACAGGTTGATTCAAAAAACCGCTGACAGACTTCTATGGCAGGTAATACATCAAAAATTAAGATGAAAAG